TTGAAGCACTGAGAATTTGAGAGGTGATTATAACACAATAGTGAAGAATACCTATTATGAAAGTATATAAGTATATAAAAATATATAAGGTATAAAAATAGATAATACCTACTTTTGAATCTCAGCTTTGCTACTTACAAGCTCTGTGACCTTTGACAAATCACTTATCCTCTCTGTTCCAGTTATATAGGATGAATTGAAATCGCATATATGTAATCTGTGTGTGGTTGTCTTTTAAGGGACGTTCTGGTTTTACTTAGCACTTTATTGTATCTGCAAAACAAAACTCCACAGTCTTGTGCATTGGCAAGCAATGCGTATATTTATGAAGATTTTGTAGAAAGGAGGAGGGGGTTTATGCCACACACCATCCTGTGAAATACCTTAATATATCCCCATTCTCTGCCAAAGTTACTCCATGGCCTCCCTGCCCAGAGGGAACCATTCTCTGAGCACCACTCAGTTGGGGTCCACTCCTCTCTTTTCATTTCTGAAACAAGCTTACCTATTTTCTTTTCTCACAAAGAGGAGTGTTGTGTATCTCTTATGTGGGGCCAGTCACACAGCCACTGCACATCCAGCTACCATAGACTATTCCCCAAATTCTCCCGGTCTGATTTTCTTCACATTATTAAACCCATACTTATTATGGTGCCTAAAACATAGTAAGTTTTCTGTAAATGTTAGGTATTGTACTATTATCATTAGAAGTGGACAATAATAGCACTAATGGACTGGCATTAAGTACAGTAATGGTCTATTTCTTGCAGTTCTCAGAAGAACGTGTGCTCTACCATCTATTTGTGGATAGTCTAAAACCTATCGAGCTCTTTGTTTGCTTTTCTGCATTGGTACGCTGGGGTGAGTCTGGAGGTAAGAAGGCTCTGAGAAAATGATAGTCTTAAAGCTCAGATCACATTCATGCTGGGAATCATGCAATGGTCAGATTTTTAGTTCATGGAAGAAGGAAGCTCTTTCCTTACCGGAGTTCCTCAAGAGTCACACAGGACCACCTGTGCTGTTTCCTCTGAAGCTCCTACTCCCCAGGTATCAAGGGTTGCGCTCCCACTTGCCATCTTCACCTCTCCTGGTTGCAGTCACTTGTTCCCCTCTTTGGCAGCCCTTGTTCTGTTTTCCTTTTCTGTACATGGCATCACTCTTGATTGTCTCAAATCTACTGAAAAACATGAGCTCTTTCTTTTTTGATATGCCAATTCCAATGACCTTTTCCTCTATCCCACCTTGGCTCCCTGCTTCCATGAACACACTGTAGACCTGATCCTTACCAACTAACGCATCATCTGAGACATCTCAATTTCACCACCCCCTGACTCTCCAGTTCATTCTTTCTAGAACTCCCACTCCTACAATTTTTGACCCCACTGGGACCTCCATCCATTGACCCTACCACTCTTTCTCTGTCCATCATTCTTTTCATGTTTTGTTTTTTAAATTCTTCTCCCATTTCCAGCATAGTTTCTATGGTCCATGACTATAACTATATCCTTGCATATGCCCTCAATACTTTGCCCTTCTTACCATCTCATAAGATGCCAGGGACAGTTATTTTTCCAGGAAAGTAAAAATTTCCTGGAAAAATTCCAATATTGGTTAGACTCAATTCTGCTCCTAACATGTAATTGCAACGGAGCAGCTAAATGTGACTGGAGAGGGGGAAAAAAAAAAATCCTGCATAGCCCCATTAAATGGAGGAGCACAAATCTCATCAAGGCCCGTAAGCACTGCCACCATTTCTCTAGTTCATTCATTCGCCCAGTGTCATTCTCGTGGACGGCTACTTCACACCTTCAAATTTTCAACACCCACTCATGCACACTTATTTTCAGCTGATGATCTTCCTGCTGATTTTACTGAAGAGACAGAAGAAATTAGAAATGACCCACCTCACCCTTACACGATGAACTCTCTCAAGCTCTCGTCTGCCTTCCCTCTGGTTCTAACAGATAATCTGTCTCTGCTCCTTGCTCCTCTGCAAGGCTAAGCCTTGCACACACATGCACACACACAAAGCATTGTTCTTTCATTCTTTAGCCTGTTTTGTTAAAGCATTTATCTTTAGCTCAAATTAACAGACCCTGGCACTGTAGGAAACCAATAAATATGTGCTGAATGCTTAATATTGAGTGTTTTGCCAACATTGAGGACAGGGACTTTTTCACCAAGGTATCCCCAACGTTTTGAATGGTGTCTAGCGTACAGCAGTTGGCCAAAAATTACATGTTGTATAATAAACCTTCAAAAGTTTAGTGATGTTTATTTTAGTATGTCTACCAAGACAGTACCCACACCATGTCCTAGAACATTTAAATTCTATATGTGCAAAGGTGTTTCAGGTCATGTTGTGGTCTTATGTCCTCAGCTCTAGTGTTTTCTGGAAATAGGGCAAAAAGTGTTTTGCCCTTAGTCATTGATAAAGAATATTCCGTACTATTTATTTCAGAGGAAAACTTGATATTAAAATTAAATTTTGGCGGGCCGGCCTGTGGCTCATTCAGGAGAGTGCGGTGCTGATAACGCCAAGGCCATGGGTTCGGATCCCATATAGGGATGGCCAGTTTGCTCACTGGGTGAGCATGGTGCTGACAACACCAAGTCAAGTGTTAAGATCCCCTTACCGGTCATCTTTTAAAAAGAAAATAAATTAAATAAATAAAATAATTAATTAATTAAATTTTTGTTAATCATTTGCTATTTATATGTAAAGTCAAAGACTCTGAGAATCAAAGATAGATGTTTAGATAAGCAATGGGATATTGTGACTTGCTTTGACACCATCTTAGAGAAATCTCTTACTTTCCCAGATATGATGTGCTTCCTTCTCTTAAAATTGCATCTAGAAGGATAAAGTAATTAGCACCATAGAGATAATAGACGTGATCATATACTACAAATGACATATACCTGTCTGTCCTCTTTTTCCAAATTTTCCCATTCCTGGCTACTTCACCTGAGGGGACAGAGAGGAGGATCTGGGTTTCATTTGAGTATTATTTTCTTTTTGGTCTTTTTTTGTGACCGGTAAGGGGATCGCAACCCTTGGCTTGTTGTCGTCGGCACCACGCTCAGCCAGTGAGCGCACCAGTCATCCCTATATAGGATCCAAACCCACGGTGGAGCTCCGCTGCGCACCCAAGCACCACACTCTCTTGAGTGCACCACGGGGCTGGACCTTGAGTATTATTTTCAATAATTATTTAACTGGTGTAATTTCAAATATTTTATGAACATTTTCAGAATATCTCTAATCCTTATTGTTATTATTATTACTGGATACAAAGCAATATGAGTGAAGGCCAACTATACTTTCACAATCAAATTTCAATATTTTTTCACTTATCCTACAGCCTTGACCAAAGATAGCCCTGCTGTAGAGCCTGGCCTCCTAATAGCTGAGACGTTTTCTTGGAAATCTCTCAAGTCCCGCAATCTTGTTCTGAAGATACATACATATGCTACCAAGGCTACAATGGTTCGCCTTCCTGTTGGGTATGGAGTGACTTCATTTTTCCATATTAAGAATTTTTTGAAGACTTGTAAACTGTTGATTATTAAGAAGCAAACCATGTGAACTCTAGGATATTGTTTTCTGAATTGATTTCATAAGGCACAGGTCCACTTATTATGATTCTTGAGAAAAATAATTTCATGAACAAACAAACTGAAAAGTGCTGTGCACTGAATACCCTTTTGGAAGATTCATAATTGTTGAAGATTCTGGGAATATCTTTAGTAAACAATACTGTTTAAACTTGTTTAACCTAGCATTTTCTAAAATTAATTTATTAAAGAATCCTTTTTCTCATAAATCTTATTATATCCTCTAGCAAGAACTTTGATTTCATTTAAACACAGATTGAGAAATATAGCATTTTCCCCTACCAACCTATAGTTTCACATGTTATTAATTTTGTAGGTATTATGTTTAATTAAGATAAAGCTGATTAAACACATTACAGTTTCCATTTTAAGGAAAATATGTGTAATCAATTTATTTTTATTTTGATGAGTAAAATTCATATTTTAGATAAAATAAATATTTTCACTGGATTTTTTCCCTAAGGTCAATCATGCTAATTCTAGTGCTCAAGGAGAAGCTATGGCTCTTGTGCAAAAGCAAAGCCTGAGCAACAATTTCAAATGTTAAAATAATGTATGGTAAGCATTCAGTATTTCTAGAAAATAATAAATCTTAAAACTTCAACATTTCTCACAAGCATAAACTAAACACTTTGGCATGGAGAGATTCTCCCAGAAACCAAGTCACTCTGTCCAAGTGGTCATTCATCGAGACAACCAAGGACAGGAAATTAATGAAAAATTCTCTTATGTCCACGCTTCCCCCCCCCCAGGAGAAACATATCAACATATATGTTTTGGACATGTTCTAAATACTCATTAACTGCGGGAAAATGCTCTCAATGATACTGTAACCTGGTAGGAGAGACACAGTTAACATATCTGAAATGGTGCATTTGTGAGAAAAAGACTATGAAGTCTTCAAAGCCCGACAGTCACAAGATTACTGCTGTTGTTAGGGAAACATCCAGACAGTCTTTCCATGCGAGTGCAGTGTGTGGGAGGTATCTGCAGAAAGTGCAAGTTTGTCATTTAGCCTGACTATTTTTACCCTATGTAATTAGTAAAATATAGATTCCATGATCTCTCAGAGTTCTTTTGGAGTAAAAATTCAAAGGTCTTTATTCCATCTGTGTTAAAAAATTCAACTCTTTGCTAACCTTTGACATAGTTTGAGTTCCAAACTTTTGTCAAGCAATTAAAAGAGGGAAATACTGCAACCAAGGAAGCACTTGGTCCTCATACGGTGCCCATTGTCTTTAGCAGGCACATGCTGCTCTTCACTGCTTATTCCCCAGTGGGACATTCCATACACATCTGCAGCATGGTGACTTTTGTCATTGGGGATGAAGATGTCGTGCTGCCCTACTTTGAGCCGGTAAATATTTTAGCAACCATGTTTTTGTGTGTGTTTTATTTTCAAAGATTTTGAACTAAATCTTATTTCTATTTTTTATTCGACTTACCCATTTTTATTTAACCTTTTAAAACTATTAAGTATATTCTGCAGGAAATTTTCAAATGCACCCTGTAAAATGAACGGTCTAAACTCTGTAGGGATGCAAATAAAATTTCTCTTCTCCAACAACCGCCTTCACCTCTACTCTGTGGAATCTCTGTTTACATCTATTAAGATATCAGGTAGATCTCATGGAACTATTTATCCTTTGAGGTACAGTCCTTTTCAGTACAGTTTAAAGTTTTGATTTCTTTTTCTCCTTTCGTCCCTTCCTTGGTCTAATTTGGTGTGTGTGTCTCTGGGATTCAGGGGTAAAGGGTGGCCTGTGGGAGGTTCCATCACTTCCCCTTCATCTCCTCTCTCTTCTTGGCCTCTTTTGGTTTCTCTTGCTCCTCCACTCTGACGGGGTCTAAAGGAAGAGGCCAGCATCTGCTCTGAGGTCTCCTCTTGGTTTTAGATGTGCATTTGGGGGAAGATTTGCATATGACCTTCCTGCTGCATAATTCCTGACTTCCTCAGCTGTATCCCCTTCTCACCAAAGGCAAACAAGCAAACAACAAACACAAAAAATAACTCCAAGTGGCATGACCTTGTATTGATGGATTCTCTAAGGCAGCCAGCAAATCTTGTAGCAACAAGTCGGCTCCAGACCTTACACTATGTCTCATGCCCAGACGTGCCCCACTCATGCATTCCTACCCATCTAGACAGTGGCTGAGCAAGGCTTCCCCTGGCTGTCTCTCTATTTGCTGCTCCATCTCTCACTATTTCTGTTCCCTCCTGCTCAATAGGCACAGAAGAAAGATCAGCAAGCCTACCTCCTAAGCAGACGTGCTTTATTTCTCTTACTTTGTTTATTCTGCTTTTTTCAAATTCTTGTCTTTTTTTAAAAAAATAAGGCTGTTTTAGATGGTATACATTATCCAGTTTTCTTGCTTTAGATGATTTAACTCCCCAGGTGTTTACTTATTTTGGTCTATGAGCTCATATTTCCCTGGAGATATCACTCCTCTATCTTGTAAAACTTATTGTGGTTCAAGTTCAAGCCCCGTTGGTCTTTGATCTTAATGAAGAAGCAAAAGAGGACAGAGAGTGGCCCAAGAGCAGAGATACTCAAGCTCTTTAGAGCCATTACTGATCACTCCCAATGCTGCCCCCGTGACCAAACAACATTTCTGCTCATGATTCAAATTAGGGAGATGAACCACTGAGATGAGGCTTTCCCTAGGCTTTGGGAGGACTTGGGGGAGGTAATGGAGAAGTAAATACATTAAGGTGGCAAGGCAGTTGCATCTGTTGCCATCAGCTTCTCGCCCCAGCAGGGCATATGTGCCGTCCATTCCTCAAACTGCCTGCAGGGAACCCAGCAGCAACAGTCGCACCAGGGCGCCCCCTAGGGACGAGGCAAAGACAGACTTCACCAGGTTTTCCTCCAACTTCATGCTGCCTCCAAGCACCAGCTGCTCCTCTGGGCAACTCCACCACTACCCACTACCCGCCAACCGAGATAGTCTTCAGACACTTCAAGGGTTTCTCGGGCTTTTTAAAAATTGCTCACCTCCTGAAATCCCCATTTCCTTCTTGCTTTTATTGTTTCCTCAGCGTTGACAGCAGGAGGGAGTCAGCAGCCCGTGCCAGTGTACCCTCTGGTCTTTTGTATCTCTACATCCTGCTCCCTCAAATCTTCTCTGCTCCACAGTCCTCAATTCCCACAGAGTTCTTGTCAGACTGATCCTAGACATCTGTCAGAACTAAGTCTGGAGATCAGTCCTCTGGGGAAATGTTCTCCAACCCCCAGTACGAAGTAGGTGTTCCCCCCACCCCACGTTCCCACCCAGATGGGAATGGCAGTCCTTGTTTTATATCTCCGAGGCCACAGCACCTGGGAAAATGCTTTGATCAAGTCAGTCCTCCGTAAGTAACTGTTGAGTTAACCATAGAGCAGAGGTTTAGTATTTTCACAGAAATTAAATTTTGTAAACTTTATTACACTTCACCCAAAGGAGGACGTCTGCTATGCTCTGTCTTCACAGGAGAGCTACCGATTTACAGAGCAGGCTCTGACAATTCTGAAAGCTGTTGGGAATGTGATTGCTTATTTCAAAGACAAAGGTAAACTTTCTGCAGCTCTGAAGGATCTGCAAACAGCTCACTACCCTGTCCCCTTCCACAATAAAGAATTAACAGCACAGCACTTCAGGGTAAGTTTGCTCTGGATGTGATGTTCAGAGGAGGAAACTTTCTATTTGACTTGAAATATCTTTTATTAGGGGACCTCCAAAATCAGAGCAGAGAAAATATTTTGGATGTAGATCATTTATTTGGGAAGTGATTTTTAGGAAGCAGAAATGAGGGTGTGGGTAGAATGAAATGAAAAAGAGAAAGAAATTGGTTAAAGGATGTGATAATTACCAGGGCTCAATTGTCTAGAGGATCCTGATAAACTGTGCAGGAAATCCCTCAGAAGGGGTCCCCTGAAGGATGGGGAGGTTGTGGCACTTATCCACCAACTCTTTCTGCCACTGATAGATTGTTGCCCTCAGGGGCTTTAATTTCTTCACACATGTGACTTGTGCCTCTGCTAGGGCTGAGTAGCATGCTGGTTTTGCAGACAGCCTTGAGTCTCTGACTTCCTGGTAGCCCCTTGATGAGGGAAATTTATAGGGTGTATGGACTTTTCTACCACTACTGCACTGAAATCAGGTGGACCTACATTTGGGTTTTTTAACCATCACACTATTGACATTCCAGGCCAGATAGTTTTTGTTATAGGGCTGTCCCATGAACTGTAAGATGTTTCATAGCATCTCTCTGGTCTCTACCCTGTAGACACCAGTAGCATCCAACTGTGACAACTGAAAATGACTTTATACTTGCCAGATGTCCCTTGGTGAGGAGGAGAAGCATTTGCTAGATTTATCAAATAGAAATACAGGACACCCAGTTAAATTTTAATTTCATGTAACTGAACAGTATGTGCAATATTTCAGACCTAACTTATAATAAAAATTCAGTTTATCTGTTATCCAAAATTAACTAAGAGTTGAGTTTTGTTGGGGAAATATAATTAAAAATAAAATCTCCTTATAACCTAGAATTTTTTACAAAAGTAGAAGAAAACAATTTTATTGTTGAGTCAACGTTAAGCAGGAATGCGATGTACATTGCAGGCAATCCACTAAGGGATAGCAAAGACAGAAAAAAATCTCACCCTTTTATATAAAACACCAAGCAGGTACAGGCCATTACATACACACTCTCAAAATCCATAATAACTAGTCCTCAGTTTAAAGGACTCAACAGTGTCATTTGCCACATATAGTTCATCCTAAATTCACTCCTCATTAGGAGTGACCATCTATGTTTGGTAATTAGCTTTATCCAAAGGAAAAATAAGCTTTTCACACCTGTATGACAAGATTTAGTTTTGCAATTTGGAGCAAGTTGCCCACCCACCTAAGTTCGGTTCCCGGCCTCCCAAAGAAATGGGAAATAGAAGCTCTATTTTTTTTGATGATTACATTTCAAAGAGATAGTTCCCAGGTCCTTGAGAAAAACATTCCTGGGTTGTAAAACTGGCAAGAGGCTTACTTAGATTTTAAAAAGATTTACATACATTTAAAAGAGAGAGAGAAAGAATTATAATTACAAATTTTCCAAAATAAATGCTCTAAGAAAAGAGGTGGGGGCAGTCTCTTCCCTTATGTTCCATAGGGAAGATTAAATCTCTTATTTTTAATTTGTGTTTGCCTTTACAGTGTCATGTGTTTTATCTGGCAACCCTACCTGGGGACAAATCATCCCCAGTTGAAAACCACTCACCTAGGCGTTGAGTAATATACAAGAAATATTTGCCATGATTCACCTTTAGAACTAGTCTGATAGTGCTCCCATCCTTAAGTAAACTCTGTCATCCATTCTACAAGGTGGTAACTGGTCACAAGCTCTAAAATTAAACAAATAAATAATACAGTCAGCATATGATGAGAAAGCTGTACCCTGAGGCCATAATTGGTGTTCAACATCTCTCTCCTCTACAACTTGTTCTAGATTTCCCTCTTTTCCAGCCAATGCTTCCAGTTGCTTGGCTGGTAAGTGATTCAGCTCTTCAACCCTGATGGATGCAAGGTCTTGGTTGTCTTATTCTTATCAGGCCATCTTATTTGTTTAATTTGTCAGTAATTGTTGCTGCAATTATTCACTCACTGTGGAAGCACCAAGAAGTTCCCAGCCAGTTCCAGACAAAATTCTCCCTGCCCCGATTATGAAGGAGGTACCCTAGTACCTCATGACAATCAGTGGGATTTCTTTTCCTACCCTGTTATATTAATTCATTTTTTTCCTGCTTGGTCACCAGGATGAGGAACCCAAAACAATCATGCATATGTCATATGACTCTATTGTACATTAAATCACACTGTAAGAGTATTCCCTGATAGAGCATTCCCTGCCTCGCACCCTCAGGAATTAAATCCTCCAATCCAGCAAACCCCTTGTTGTGGGGAAGAGCACAGAGTCTGCAAATGGGTCACTGCAAATGATGGGAAGAGAGGCCAATTCTCCTTGCAACTTTTGAATCCCAGGCCTATATGTTTTAGCTCTGCAGACATAGCACCACATATAGGTCTTTGGTTCATATTTCCATACTGCATATTTCCATACTGCAGGGTGCCATCTCCGGGCTGACTTCTTAGCTGAGTCTTTCGTATGCCATCTCACTCTACCAGTAATTTATCAATTCTATTTATGGTATATGTTATAGTTTAGGTTTATTGTAAATAAAATAAACCTTAGGACTAATGGGTCCCAGACTATTCCCAGTGCTTGAATTCTCAAAGGTCACAACCTTTGGTCCAAGGATACGTTAGGCTAGATCTCTGTTTGTAAATCAGATTTTCTATCACATTTTATAATGATGCTCGCAGAGGTACTGAGGACAGGGAAAGCAAACTCCTATCTGAGGTGGATGTCAATTCTAGGAAGGATGAATCATTGGCCCCCCTTGTTCGAAGTCCACTGAAATCAACTTGCCACCAGGTGTTTGGCTGGACTCCTCAGAGGATGGTATCATATCAAAGCATCAGAGTCAGTTTCTGCTGACAGGTCAGATGACTGATCCTGGTAGTCACCATCCCTGCTACCAAGACTACTCTGTGCAAGGGACTGTTGTGATCAGCCATGATTTAAAATGCAAGGGATTGCTGTGCATGTAACAAAATGGGGGCTGTTTTGGTAAGAAAACATTTCCATCTCATACCCTGATAATTACAGAGCTATGTGACATATGATGAAAAAGCTTTGTCTAAATAAATCTAAAAGAGCTTTTTCAAAATGAAGTACTCTGAAGTGATAAGAAAGTGATAAAAACTCTAAGCAACATATTTTCTTATTTTCCATCACATAAAATAATAGTGCATATTACAATGAATGACATCTTGGAATTGATGTAATCTGATTTTTAACTTGCTTAAGCACAAGGATCATATTTTTTATGTTACTCTATATCTCCTCAACCTGTTTAATGCTGTATTTTGATTGAATATATATTATCAACATTGTTGTAGTGATTAAATATTACTAAATTAAAAATAATCAAATGATAATTTTGATTTCTTACTGGGTGAGTGACGCTTTGAAATATTTTGTTAGATGGTATATATATATATATATATATATACCATCTCTATATATATATATATATACCCTTATATATATATGAGAAATGTTTTGTTTTTGTTTTTATTTTTTGCTTTTTGTGTTTAGAATATATAAAGATTTTAAAGCTTCTCTGGTCAGGTAATGGTATTTTCTTGGTTTAGAGAATATATAAATGTATTTTATCTTTTTCAGGTTTTTCATATTTCTTTATGGCGTTTAATGAAAAAAGTTCAAATAACAAAACCTCCTTCAAACTTCAAATTTGCATTCCGTTCTATGGTTTTGGACGTGGAGTTACTTGATTCCTCCTTAGAGGAGGTGTCTTTAGGTACTGATTAATTTTAGATATTTGATCAAGGAATTCCTAGCCTTATATAGATAAATCATTTGAGAAAAGTGCACTTAAAAGTTTTTGTGGAGTAGGTAGAACATGTCCGCGTGCACAGTGTGGAATCCCAGCTGTGCTCTGGGAAGCTGAAGAGGTCCCAGAGACCTGCCAAGTATCCCCCAGTCTCCAAGTCCCTGCCACATGTACATCCAGGGAAAACCAGAGTTTTCATTTTATTTGTTCCTAATTAAAAATTTGAAAGTCACTGATCTACATGGTATGATTTGAGGAACTCTGGAAAGATCCTGCAACTCAGGAAACCCTGCTGATCTCCCTTTCCCATGCTCTGTTCCCACCATTTTAACATTTCCTTTCATGTTTGAGAGAAATTTCTGGCTATTTTCAGAGAGTAATCAATACTAGTTCACTAACAGGTCACTACTTTGTGTGTTTGTTTCCCTCTTTTACCTTCTAAAAGGGACCACCTACAGTGGGCAAGGTTAAATATAATAATCAATCTATCACTGTGTCATTTCAGTGTCAGAGGGTTTTAGTAGCTAAAGGCATTGAACTTGGTGAAGGGACTACGTGTAACTTTCAGCACAACATTTGTCTTTTCGTTTCAGTGGAATGGGTAGACGTTAAATATTCTTCACCAGCAAGTGAGAAAGAGTATTCTCCTGAGGAAGTCACAGCAGCAATTAAAATTCAAGCCATGTGGAAAGGGACTTATGTTAGATTACTTATGAAAGCCAGAATACCAGGTATAACTTTTCAGACATTTATGAAATGAACTTGTGTATGTAAGAATGGATATTTGTTTATGCGTGTTAATTTTAGAATCACCCTATGTTATGGTGCAGCTAATTAATTTTAATCCTATAAATATTGAAGTTTCTTGAGTCAGGAAGCATGTCAATACACTCATTCTCTTGTTCCCACAATTTAGTACAGTGCCTGGCATACAGTAAGCACACAATAAATACTTGCTGGGCCGACCCCGTGGCTCACTCGGGAGAGTGCAGTGCTGGGAGTGCAGCGGCCGGCAGTGCCGGCAGTGCCGAGGCTGCAGGTTCGGATCCTATATAGGGATGGCCAGTGCACTCACTGGCTGAATGCGGTGTGGATGACACAAAGCCAAGGGTTACGATCCTTTTACTGGTCACAAAAAAAAAAAAAAAAAAAAAAAAAAAAAGCAGTGCCGAGGCTGCAGGTTCGGATCCTATATAGGGATGGCCGGTGCACTCACTGGCTGAACGCGGTGTGGATGACACAAAGCCAAGGGTTACGATCCTTTTACTGGTCACAAAAAAAACAAAACAAAACAAAAAAAAATACTTGCTGAAAGAATGAATGGTTAAATGAATGAATGAATGTAAATGATCAGCTTTGTTTTCCCAATCTTTTGTGAGTTCTTTTAAAACAGGGAACAGGTCTTTTTCTCTGTATATCCCCAGTGCCTAGCAATATGCTGCATCAGTCAACTTCAGCCAAGTCATAAATATTTTTACATTTCTAGACCATTTTTCAAAGAAATGAATGAATTAATTAATAAATAAATAAAACAGAAGTCTCCATATATATATGGTAACATATATTTATAAGGCATAAAATGCATTTTAAGTGTGTTCTTAGATTTCTTAAATTGAATATATTTATGTATATAAAATAAAATATTTTTGTGAAAAAGGTCTATTTTACCATCTTAAAGTAAAACGTGGCAGATACAGAAATTAAATTCAATTATTTTCATTCTGCAATTTTCGTTGACATTTGATAAGAAAAGCCTTACCTTCAATAGAATTCTTTTGAATATATATTGAAACTTTTTTTTGTAAAAACATCTCAATTTGAAACATTTAATGATAATAGTGAAAATATTCATCTAAGCAGTAAAAATTATGGATAGACAAGGTAAAAGAAACTATGTGGCATTGTTTTGTGATAGAAAAATATTACAGTTGCCTGATTTTTATGTTTTCTTCTATTACAAAGAAAGTATGCATTTATAAAACAAAATGTATGATAAAATATGCTTTTTGTTCATATATGTTGTAAAAATTATATTCATACAGTGATTTAATTTTCCTTTTAAGAGACTGAAACACTTGAGCAATTTAATATACTTAATAGAATTTGCATTTCTTTCACTCAACACACACCTATTGAATAACTCTTGTATGTAAAAGCACTGTTCTAGATTCAATAAAACAGACAAGGTTTCTGCTCTGATGAATCTTATGTTCTAGTTGGGGAAAGCATACAGTAGACAAATAAATATATTAAGATATCCATTTCAGAGACTGGTAAGTACTATGAAGAAATCAAGAAATTAGAAAAATAATGTCATTTTCCAACATGTTAAATTTGAGGTGCTTAATATGGGTTTGCATTTTTCCTGCCAAATTATCTATTTTTGAGTTATTTGTGGATAAGACAGTAGATTGGGCTTTAGTGGGATCCTGTTAGCCATGGTTCTTTAGAACAATTGGATGGATTAATTTTTCTGAGATAAGACCTTTCATAAGGAATTTTGGGAGTGACGGAAGATGTCCTTAAGTAAACTCTTTGATGAGTACCTTAAATTAGATCAAAGATCATTTTATGATTTCTAACTAAAGGTGAAGGGAAATGGCATAATATGGTAAGCAGAGCTCTCGGCTACAGGTTTATAGCTCTATATTTTAAACATGACTTTTCTGTAAATAAAGCCTACAGCTTTGTGTACCATGTTACTTGTGAGTTTCAAGTTCCTCGATGTACAATGAAGGCTTTGGATAAGAAGATCTCTCTGGCATCTCACAGCTTTAATATTGTTATGCATTATTATTTTTTTAGACACAAAAGAAAATATCAGTGTTGCAGATACTCTTCAAAAAGTTTGGGCTATGTTGGAACTGAATATAGAACAATATGCACTTTCTCTCTTAAGGTAAAGCAGTGCAATGATGTTTTTATTATAGTATATTGTTACCCTTCAAGGTGCAGTTCAAATGCTACCATATTTATTGGTTTTTCTGTAATCACTGCTGCCAGAAACACACCATTGCTTCTGAGCTTCCACAGTATTTTACCTGAAATTATGGTAAAATATCTATGGTTCTTGCTACTTTTTGTTTATGTCTTAATGGCACATAACTAAAATTATAAGCAGAAAACCTCTGAAAAGCAGAACAAAGTTTCCTGAAATCTTATGCTGCTGAGAAGTCAAAAGTTAGAGTTTAGGACCTGATGGGAGATGGGACCCCAGTAAACAAATAGTCAGGTGAAATCCCTGGAGAACAACATTCTCTAAACAGAGACAAATCAGAAGTAGGTTGAACTTTACAGAAACTGCATTCTAGCCTCAAACCATGACCAGGAGAGAATGACCTGAACAAAACCAAGAGAAAATTTTATATATACTTATGTTATATATAAATTTTATATTTATATATTATGTATAATTGTGTATATATATATATATATATATATATATATATATAATTTTGAAAGAAGCAGACCCTCTGATGATCCAAAAAAAAAAAAAAACTTCCAAAGGTAACTATTATGGAAATGCCCTAGAAAATAAAGAATAAAAAAAATAAAATAGATAAAAAGTTTGAGAATCTAATTAGCACAACACATTCAAATGGAAACTACATAAATAAACATTTTGGTAACTGAAATTAAGAACTAATGAGTGTGTTTAATAGCAGATTATTCAAAATAGAAGAGATTAGTAAACTAAGAAATAAGTCAACAACAAAAAAAATCCCAACTGAAACATAAGAGGAAATGAGTGGGAAATAAGGGACGTGTCGAATATGCTTAGAAAGACTAGCATATATATGATTGGAGTTCCAGAATATAAAAAGAAAATAGCCAAGAACTCTCCAACACTGATAAAAAGGTATCAACCCATGTTTTTCTGCAGACTACAGTCAGGAAAGACACAAAGAAAACCACACCTAGACTCATCACAGTTAAACTGTTGAAAATCAAAGACCAAAAGAAAAGTCTTAAAAGCAAACAAAGAAATAAGATATATTATTTTCAAAGGACAGTGAGACTAATAGCATATGTAGGAGTAAATTCCTGACAGCAGTAACACAAAATTCTGGAGTTGGGTAAAGGTTGTAAAACATTCTAAGATTCTAGCATTATTAACAGAAGTGGTGGAAGCAATAACTAATCCTGGCCCACAGATACTGTTATTGCCTGATCACTCCACTCCAGCTTGATTCATTTTTGCTACAGAACCCCTAATTGGGTATACTTTTACCTAAAATTCCAATTGGATGGAAACACACAGAGCATAAGCCCCCTTATGACACCTACCTCTTGTGGGGTCTATTACGGGAAGATCTCTAGGTCAGATCCTACACCTAATTTTCATATAAATGATGTGCTAAAGAGTGAGCTCTCCTATTAGGGAGTCAGATCACTTCACCATGGAGGTGTATTTGGAAAACAATCATAACACTTCGGGGGGCTGGAGTCCCTCTCCTTGTGATCTTCCCACCATGGTCAAGAGCATTTCCCAGAATCCCAGCTAATGTACAATATACGGAGGCCATGCTCTTTCAGTAGTTCAAGTTCTATACCCAAACCTGCTGAACAGATAAAACCAGCATGTCTGACTGTTATTTAAGCTCACATGCTAGGAGCATCCAAAGCCACCTCATCCTAGCAGGAATTAATTATACCGTTAAGAGCACAGCTTTTGGCATAAGACCAAATGCAAATTAATCTCAGCTGTACTAATTACCAGATGTGTGACCCAAAGTACGTTTTTTAATCCTCTCTAAATTGTTTTTTTAATCTGTAATATAGGGATAATAATGTCCACCTTATGGTACTATTGCTTAGAAAAGCTGTAAAGATAAATTCAGGTAACACAGGAAAGGTACTTAGCACAATGCTACAGACTGGACCACCACAGAACATTGACTATTATAAATACTGGGACTGTCATTACTACTGCATGTAGAACGTTGAGGTCCTGAAGCCTAGCCTTGCATTCTAAACTCTTAAGGGGCAGAACTTCCCCAAGTCTACTTTGTGGAAGGCTGAGTATACCAAGTTAACTTTCTCTCTGTCCAATTAAAATTTAGTCTTAAAATTTGGTCCAATTGTATGGATGTACACAGAGAGCACAAACTCTCTTATACAATTTGCTCCTCCATTGTGGGGCCTACCACAGTAAGATCTCAGGGTCAGATCCTACGCCTAATTTTTATGTAAATGCTATGCTAAAAAGTTGAGAGCCCATATTAGGGAGTCAGATCAGACTAACTCTGACTAAATTAAGATTAAATCTTAATTAAGACTAAATTTCCCAACTCTGTCAGGGATGTCTCTCTGGATCATTCAAGATATTCCACATAATATATGAGGATTTTGATGACCCTGTGTTTATTAAAATTTCCTGCTGTTTATATAAAAGGGTAGAATGTTTGAGGGGAACAGTGACTGTCTGGAAAGATTCTACATTTGACCCTTATTTCAGGATGGTGGTGGTGAATTCCCTATATGACTGTGTCGGCTCAGCCAACATCCATGTTTAGATTAGGCCAGCTCCCATGTGCTTTCCAGTGGTGCTCTGCTGGAAAATGATTGACCACCAAATTTTAGTTCCCAATTAGCATGATCATTTTTTTTTTTTTTATAATCCAAACCAGGACGATGTTTGAGGGGAACAGTGACTGTCTGGAAAGATTCTACATTTGACCCTTATTTCAGGATGGTGGTGGTGAATTCCCTATATGACTGTGTCGGCTCAGCCAACATCCATGTTTAGATTAGGCCAGCTCCCATGTGCTTTCCAGTGGTGCTCTGCTGGAAAATGATTGACCACCAAATTTTAGTTCCCAATTAGCATGATCATTTTTTTTTTTTTTAATCATCCAAACCAGGACGATTTGACAAAGAGAGATGGAGAACTCTTAAAAATTAAGCCATGACCATAAGTATAAACCACTACTTGTTCAGTCATACCAGGATATATGGTCACCCTACTCTTTGTTCTTGTCACCATTTTAAAACCCCTCCAAGTATGACCCTGTTAATTTCCTCCACCACCAGACTAATGATCGAATGGAGCATGTGAATTCTGTCCTCCCCATGAGGACCTCCATGGCTTTGCTTCCCACTGACAATCAGTGAAAGCATCTGTCTTCTGAAGCCGAAGAACACCTCTAGCTCTGTTTAGACCTCTAACAGAGAAACATTTTCTATGGCCATAATGGCTTTCGTCCCACCTAATATCTGAAACATTGTATAAAAGACCCTATATTCCTGGTGCTACTAAGGCCAGATCCAGTTTCTGGCAGAATGAGAGGCATAAGGCCCAGAGAATCCATCATATCACCACTTCCATTGTGTTCTGGAGTATGCCACATCCTTCCAAGGGGCAAACATGGAGGAATCTCAGCCCATGATTCTTTTAAGTGGTTGCACGAACACTCCCTCATGCACCGGAAATCATGCAGAATGAAAATTCCCTTGTTCATGGCTTTAGTGTTTTTACCATTTGCAACAAAATGGATGGACTTAGAGAAAATTATATTGAGTGAAACAAGTCAAGCACAGAAAGAGAAATATCACATGTTCTCACATATTTGTGGGAACTAAAAATCAATCAATCAATCAATATACAAACAAATAAAGGTGGGGTAGAAGACACAACAATCACAACAATTCCTTGAACTTGTTAAGACAAGTGAACAGATATGATGTAGTGGATGGGAGAGGGGAGACAGGGAGAGGGGAGAGAGGGAGGGGGAAAGAGGAACGGGTAAAGGGACATGAAAATCAACTACAATGTATATTGAGAAGTTAAAATTTAAAAAAAAACAAAACAAAATCTATTTTTCCAAACCCATTCTTCAATTTAAACTCCTTTCTACTCTCTATTCTCTACCTCAATTCCAGACCCCTTGGTGGCTCTCACACAGATTTATTGCTGGTATTTGCATGCTTCTAGTTCTTCTCTTTATCACAAAACAAAATCTATTTTTCCAAACCCATTCTTCAATTTAAACTCCTTTCTACTCTCTATTCTCTACCTCAATTCCAGACCCTTTGGTGGCTCTCACACAGATTTATTGCTGGTATTTGCATGCTTCTAGTTCTTCTCTTTATCACTTAAATTTTGGTTCTGATTTTCCACCTATAAACTTTGATTACTACCTCAATCATAAATTACACTCTCCTCTGACTTCAGATAACCCTGAGCACCCTTGAGAGACATGGTTTAAGGTTGACTTGGAATGGGACCCCCTACCACGGCACCATGTACCATGGGCCACACTCCCACCCTCTTTGATCAAGAACTCAGTCCAACAAGCAATGGTTCTCAATATTTTATGCTTTTTTTTTTCTTTTTTTTTTTTGGCTTATTTCTTTTTTAGTGAGTAAAATAAAGTTATGTATCCATGGCAAAAACCACTTTTAAAATAAACCCTATTTTTACATTTCTAGACTAATGTTTAAAAGCAAGTGCAAATCTATGGAATCTTATCCATGCTATCAAGATGAAGAAACTAAGATTGCTTTTGCTGACTATTCTGGGACCTATCAAGATCAGCCACCAAATTCTTGGTTCATAGTATTCAGGTCAGGTTATCATAAACGGGCAAATGATGTAATCTTTCAATGGCATGCAACATTTTTATATCTATAGAGCACTATGAATATTTATGATAGTAAAAACATCAGCTTCTAGGTTGCTTTGATAACTTACTTAATTCTTCCACACTTACTATAAATGGTAAGATATTATAGAAAATTTTATCTATGTTCTTTTTATTAAAATATGAAAAATATGAAGTAATTATTGGAACTTTTAAGGAATATGATAAAAATAATATAACAAATTAGTATAGTTTCAGTATAGAAAGAGATCCTTCTGTTTCTAAGCAATAGCATATTAGGTAAAAGTCACAAATTACTAACAAAATGGAATTTCTTATCAGTTTGCACTTACATGACAAAATAACATATTAACAATTTTTAAAAGAAAATAGCATGCATACCTTGTCATTATTTGAAACTTTGGATTTTTTTATTTTTTTTATTTTTTGGCATTAAACCTAATTTAAAACTTTCTTTAAGATTCATGTCAAGGTAAAGTTCATGCTCTTGTGATTACAGAGAAACATTTTTGGTTATTCAAGATATGATTTTGGTTCCCAAAGTATATACTACACTTCCAGTGTGTATGCTGCACGTTATTAATAATGATACCATGGAACAGGTGCCAAAGGTGTTCCAAAAAGTGGTGCCTTATCTTTATACAAAGAATAAGGTAGGTGTAAAATTTATTTTTTTGAGATGATAGAATGGCAGTGAAAAGCCATCAGCTTGTAGCAGGTCCAGAAGAAAGAAGGGCACAAGTTTAACAGAGGGCTAGGGCCCTGGTCTCATTTACAGCAGGCGATAGTTCATGTGAATGCTAGAACATTCTTTACCTCTGAGCCCTCCTTTTTCTTCTCCCTAAAGAAAATATGACAAAAAGGAAGCATTAGAAATTCTAAGTATTGAAATCATAAAATCATACAGACCCTTAAAAGAGGAATAGATTGAAAGAGCTCATTTAGTCCTATCCCTAAACCAAATCAAAGGGTTGTCTTTGCTTCCCACTGGGTTTTTATTCTATTCCTGAATATTTCAGAAGATTGAGATTGCACAGTCACTCACCACCCACCACCCCATAGACTTTTCTAGGCTGCCTACGTTCCATGAGTGGCCAGAAGCATTTGGCACGTTCTTCCTGCTGAATGACAGATCCTGATCGCTGACCTTCACTCGAACCACGTTGCCTCTCTATTTAAACCCCATCTTTCTGTTTTCTGTCATCTCCTCTAAGAGGGAATCATCACAAAAGATAGTGTGTACCTGGACTGGAAACCGAGAGATCTGTTTAACCTCTGATCTTGCATTTTTTAAGTTTATGGCTTTGAACCTCTTCATATTTCTCTTAGTGTTGTGGCTGTGCTTGACATCTGAGGTTCATTTCAGCCTATTTTATTTTATTTATACTTATTATTTTTCTATGCATTATTTTGTGTAAATTAAGACATACCTATCTAAAGAATGCTGGTTTTACAGAAATAAAGGGTAAGTTAAAAATGCATTTACTCCATAAAAACCCTAATAGCTCTTTTGAACTGTTTTAGGAATTTTAGGAAAGTTTTTAAAAATCAGGGCAATTAAATTATTGGTGAAATCATTTAATCCAATTGATACATATACACATATATGTGCTAGTATTTTTGAAACTATTTTTTACTGGGTATTTTATTGATATATTATTATAATTTTAAAAACTTGTGTGTGTTTTATTAAACTCTTAGCATTTTTTTCTATTATTTTTCACGAGATAAATTTTCTTGATATTGCAGTCACATTTTACTAAATTTAAAGACATTATCAAATTGTAACATGGGCTTAAATTATTTTTACTTTGTATTTTTTTTTTCCTTTTTGTCTTTTTTCGTGTCCGGCAACGGATCGCAACCCTCAGTGTCGCGCCCGCACCGGACCGGGACTGGCAACGGGATCGCAACCCCCGGTGCCACGCCCACACCCCGCTCAGCCAGTGAGCGGGAACTGGTCTGTATGTGGGATCCGAACCCTCGGCGGGAGCCCCACCGCGCTCCCAAGCGGCGCACTGTAGCAGTGTGCCACCGGGCTGGCCCTTTACTTTGTATTAAATGTGGCAAGTTTCACATTTACATTTAATGAGAAAATATGGAACACATTAATTTTTGTGTGCAGTTATCTATATTTGGAACGTATAATGTATAACAAACATTTTTTTTAATTCACTTGATTAAAGTCAATGCATTGATATGTTATTTTTATTTATATTTATATTTATTATTTTTCTTAATTGCTTTTGAAAGTGTATTTCACTTAAAAACAGAACAATTTGCTAATAAAAGTCTGTTTCAATATATAAAACATTTGTCTGCAAACTTTATTTGACCATACAATTTCCTTTTGCTCTATACTTAATCTCCCATGTCCTAATAAGTGACGTTTTATTAAAAATTACAATATTATGGAATTTATCTATAAACTTTACCTCCCTACAGCAGAATACCTGAGTTAAACACCATACCTGAGTTCAGCACTAGCTCTTCAGTTATAAACTTGTCTTCAGACCTCTTCTGCTCTTTACCTCTATGCTTACATAATTTGGCATAGCCCTTATGAACTCTCTTGTTATAATCCCACCCTTATATTCCAGGGGTGGTCTCAAAAGACAACTGAACATCTTTGGCTAGATAGATAATGTCTAACACTCTAATGAACAGTTATGGAACTGGTAACCTTAGGTGGGAACTTTATGGTTGCCTCTGCCTGGCAGGCTCATCAAGGACATACTAACCCACATGAAATTCACCAGGGGCCTTGACATATGCCTTCCTGAAATCCATCAACAGCAAGTCTGCAACATTTACCTGATTTTGTGTCTTCTAATCTTGTCAAAACGGAAGTGAAGTACTTGTTTCCTATAAGCTGACATTGGCTTTTAAGAATCTTTTTTGCTTCCTCGGGCTCTCACAAGGCATCCTTTTTATGATCTACTTTGGTAAGGAATGTTATTAAACTTATTAGTCCCTGGTTTGCAGAGTACATACGCTTCTTGAATTTGAAAAATCAGAATGTTTTGCTCTATTTTTTGAATAATTCCTGAAAGGCCATGCATTGTAGTTCAGAATATTCATGTATGAGATTTCTCAGTACTAGGTACTCTATTTTCTAGCTCTTTTTCTCTGAGAGTCCTGAATCCAGTTAGAATAGCCAGGTCCTGTCTTATAATTCTATCCCTGGTTTAGCTTTAGGTTTTCATGTACCGATATCTATCCTACCATTAGATAACTCTTTTTCCTCTTAAAATTATTCTCTGAGTCTGGACAAATACAAAACAAGAGTCATGCAATTTTGTTTTGCTTCTTTAATGCATTAGTTCTATAAGATCAAATAATAATGAAAATAGTGATAAATCCATGCATTACACTTTGCAAATAAAAATGCTTTAGCATAAACAATTTATCTTCCTTTTTTACTTGCCCCAAACATAATGTCAAAAGGTCCTTACTGGTGTTGCAATTCTCATCTCATTATGGGTATTGGAATTCTGGTTAATATGCCTAGATTATTGAAATTTTATGTTTTCATTCTGGCTTGTATATATCTAATTTTTGTTTCTGGAAATCTAAACACATCAGAGAGCTTCCTTTGCAACAGAAAACAACTGGAAAACACATCTATCTTTTTATTTCTTATTAGGAGCATCTGGAATTATAAACTCAGAATTATGTTGAACCTTCGGATGTTGTTAAAATATCATGCTCATGCTTCACTGACTTCCTGGTCAGATATCCAATTATGTTGAACCAAACTATTACCCACCCTGAAGTAGTTACTTTCCCAGATTCTTTAGCTGCCTCTTTTCTGCAACCTAAAGAGCTCATCTCCAGACACACATCAGGGTTTTGTGGAATCAGATCAGTTGTTAATTCAATAGCTTTACCTGTCACCCCAAGGAAACTACATTTCTATACAGTCTTCTGCTTTCCTCACCTCAGTATTTCAGAAAGATGAATATGGGAGACAGGAAAATCAAATAAGAAGCTATTGGTCTACCCTAGGATGATGCAGTGATAAAAATTTGCCTTAGGAGGCATCAGAAGCATGCCTAATTAGAAAAAAACATAGTCAACATCTACTACAGTTAAGCACTTTATTGTATAATTAAAGAACCACACAAAGAAAAATGTTATAGTCAGTCATTTTCCTGGAAACATAAGATGATGCTTTCTAAGAGGAATTTCAAAACATAATGCTAGCAATTCTATTTTTATTAAGAGATTTTGAGATCTATATGTATATCAAGATAATAAAGCATTTAATACTATATCCTGTATTGTACATTTGAGAGACTAGTAGCAGTGCGACTCATTTCTGTGTAATTGCTCTTTCTTATAGAAGGGATACACATTTGTGGCCGAAGCATTTACTGGTGACATGTATGTGTCAGCTTCACGATGGAAACTGCGCCTCATTGGTCCTTACACTCCACTGCCATGCCTCTCTCGAGATGCTCCATGGAATAACTTTGCCATAAAGGAAATAAGAGATTACTACATACCTAATGATAAGAAAATTGTATTCAGGTACAAGTATATGACATAAGGGAAAGTGCATTCTTTTTAAACTATTAATATTTTAGGATAAAAATAAATTCTGCAGAAAAATCCTGAGTCATTTTCAAATTTCAGCTTCTACACTCATTTGGAAACAATTAATTTAAAGTAATATGATGATGTGTGTATTATATGGAATCAAATCTATATGGTTGCATTTAATGGTAATGATATTTTCTTAGTCTTCATCCTACTTGACTTTTATTAAACATTCTTCACGACATGTCTTCCTCTTATTACTTTCTCCTTTTTCTGCTATATCTCTGATCATCTATTGTGGGGGCTTCTCTTTATCTGCCAACTCATCCTTCTTTTTATGCTCATCTATACACAGTACTCTCCTCGTATAGCCTAATCAGGGACTTGCTCTCTTTCATTAATCAGTCCTGTTTGTTCTAAGTCTGATATACTTTTCCTTTCTAAGCCCTCCTCTCTATTCTCGGTGTCCCTGTGCTACTTCAGGCTGTCATTATCTTTAGTCTACAAAATCGTTGCATTTCTGGAATCCATGGTTCCATTATAGTCCCTTTTTTAAACTCTACCATTTCTCTCTTTCACTTGCTTTCTTTCTTTTCTCCCGCTTTCCCCTTTATCATTTACATGCCCATCTTTTATTACCACAGTAATTACCTTTCTAAAACACATATTTAAATATGTGATTTTCCTGCTTTAAAATCTTTGACAACTTTCCACTGGCTACAGAATAAAATCCAAACCACATAGAATGATATTCAACCCTCTGCCCAGCCACCGGAGTGCCCTCTCCTGGTGGAGCTAACAACCACCTTTTGACATATATGCCGTGCAATTTTATTTTGCTCATGCCTTCCCTCTTGTGATATCCTGACCTTATTTCTCCACTTAGAGGATTATTTTCAACAGTAAAATTCTTTGTGCTTAAACATCCAAATGTAATTTGTTGGTCCTGGTCATGTTCTTATAGTCCTTTTTTCTTTCTGACAATATTTTAGCTGGTTAATTTCACATAGGACTGTATGAGAATTAATATTTATTAAAGGCCATACCCCTGTCTTTTCAATATAGAACCTAGCAAAGTGCCTGATTCATAATTGGCTTTCATTAAATATTTGTTGTTATTGAATGAGTTGTCAGAATGCTTATTCTTTCTAATATACACTGTTCTGCACAGAAATTTTGGAAAACATATAAATATATTATTAATAAAAGCTACTTATAATCAAACAGCCTAAAAACAACCATTGTTAATATTTTGTTGTATTTTTATATGGATTATACACATTCATGGGGCAAAAGCTGATCATCAGCACCTATGCTCAAGACGTGGTCAGCAAATCAATGCTATCAGCTTGCCCACCACCTCAAATTGCAATTATCCCCCATGTCTCCCACCCGACCTTTCCCCAATCCCCTTCTCCCTCTCTCACCCTTCCTCCTTCCCTGCCAAACTAGGTCTATTCTCTCTCCCTGCAAGTTCAAAACACTACTGTGGTCTTTCTTTCCTTCATCCTTTCTCTCTTAGTTCCTACTTATGAGCGAGGGCATGTAGAAATTTTCCCTCTGTGCCTGGCCTATTTCACTTAACACAGTTGTCTCCAAGCTCATCCATGTTGCTGCAAATGACAAAATTTCATTACTATTATGGCTGAGTAGTATTCCTTAGTGTATATATATACCACATTTTCCTTATCCAGTTGTTCGTCAATGGACATTTAGGCTGATTCCATATCTTGGCTACTGTAAATGAATATGGGAGTGCAGGTATTCCTTTGACATGATGATTTCCATTCCTTTGGGTATATACCCAGAAGCTGGATTGCTGGATCATATGGTAGATCTATCTGTAGTTGTTTGAGAAACCTCCATACTATTTTTCATAATGACTATATTAATTTATTGCCCCACCAACAGTGTAGAAGAGTTCCCTTTTCTGCACATCCTCACCAGCATTCATTTTTCTCAGTCTTTTTGATAATAGCCAGTCTAACTGGGGTGAGATGATATCTCAATATGGTTTTGGTTTGCATTTCCCTGATGATTAGTGATATTGAGCATTTTTTCATGTATCTGTTGGCCATTTGTATATCTCCCATTGAAAAATGTATGTTCAGCTCCTTTGCCCATTTCTTTAATTGGGTCATTTGATTTTTTTACCATGTAGTTGTTTGAGTTCCTTGTATAATCTGGATATTAATCACTTTGTCAGATGTATAGTTTGCAAATATTTTCTCCCATTCTGTAGGTTTTCTTTTTACTCTGTAGATTGTTTCCTTTGCTGTGCAGAAGCTTTTTGGTTTGACATAATCTCATTTATTTATTTTTTCTTTTGTTGCTTGTGCTTTTGGGGTCTTATTCATAAAGTCTTTGCCCAGTCCTACTTCCTGAAGTGTTTCCCCTATGTTTCCCTTTAGTGGTTTTATAGGTTCAGGTCTTAAGTCTTTAATTCATTTTGAGTTGATTTTGGTATATGGTGAGAGGTGTAGGTCTAGTTTCATTCTTCTGCATATGGGTGTCCAATTTTTCCAGCACCATTTGCTGAAGAGGCAGCCTTTTCCCCAATGTGTATTCATGTTGCCTTTGTCTAAGATCAGTTGGCTGTAAGTCTTTGGGTTGATTTCTGGGTTCTCTATTCTATTCCATGGGTCTGGGTGTGTATTTTTATTTCAATACCATGCTATTTTGGTTACCATAGCTTGGTAGCATAATTTGAAGGTGGGTAGTGTAATGCCTCCAGCTTTATTATTTTGCAAAGGATTGCTTTGGCTATTCAGAGTTTTTTGTTGTTCCATATGAGCATTAGGATTGTTTTTTTTTTTTTTTTTCCATTTGTGTGAAGAATGTCATTGGTATTTTGATGGGGATTGCATTGAATCTGTAGATAGCTTTAGGTACTATGGACATTTTCGCAATGTTGTTTCTTCCAGTCAAAGAGTGTGGAATGTCTTTCCACCTTTTTGTGTCTTCTTTAATTTCTTTCCATAGTGATTTGTAGTTCTTTTTGTAAAGATCTTTCACTTCCTCAGTTAAATTGATTTCTAGATATTTTATTTTGGGGGTGCTATTGTAAATGGGCTTACTTTCTTGATTTATTTTTCTGCTAGTTCATTATTGGAGAATATAAACACTACTGATTTGGGGGCATTAACTATGTATCCTACAACATTACTGAAATTATTAATGAGCTCTAAGAGTTTCTTGGTAGTCCTTATGTTTTCCTAAGCATAAGATCATGTCATCTGCAAAAAAGGACAGTTTGACTTCATCTTTTCCAGTCTGAATGCCCTTTATGCCTTTCTCTGGCCTGATTGCTCTGGCTGATACTTCCAATACTATGTTTAATAGGAGTGGTGAGAGTGGGTAATCCTTGTCTTGTTCCTGTTCTTAAAGGAACAGTTTTCAGTTTTTCTCCAATCAGGATGATGTTGGTGGTAGATTTGTCATATATGGCTTTTATTTTCCTTCTATACCTAATTTGTTCAGCATCTTTTTCATGAAGGGATGCAATTAACTGATCTTTGACAAAAGTGCCAAGAACATACATTGGGGAAAAGACAGCCTCTTCAGTAAATGGTGTTGGGAAAATTGGAGATCCATGTATAGATGAAAGAAACGAGACCTACACCTCTCATCATATACTAAAATCAACTCAAAATGGATTAAAGACTTAAGTATAAAACCAGGAACTATAAAACTCCTAGAATAAAACATAGGGGAAACAATTTAGAATGTAGGACTGGGCAAAGCCTTTATGAATAAGACCCTAAAAGCACAAGCAACAACAGAAAAAATAAATTAATGGGATTGAATCAAACTAAAAAACCTCTGCCAGCAAAGGAAACAATCAGCAGAGTGAAAACTAANTTTTTTGTTGTTCCATATGAGCATTAGGATTGTTTTTTTTTTTTTTTTTTTCCATTTGTGTGAAGAATGTCATTGGTGTTTTGAGGGGGATTGCATTGAATCTGTAGATAGCTATAGGTACTATGGACATTTTCACAATGTTGTTTCTTCCAGTTGAAGAGGTGGAATGTCTTTCCACCTTTTTGTGTCTTCTTTAATTTCTTTCCATAGTGATTTGTAGTTCTTTTTGTAAAGATCTTTCACTTCCTCAGTTAAATTGATTTCTAGATATTTTATTTTGGGGGTGCTATTGTAAATGGGCTTACTTTCTTGATTTATTTTTCTGCTAGTTCATTATTGGAGAATATAAACACTACTGATTTGGGGGCATTAACTATGTATCCTACAACATTACTGAAATTATTAATGAGCTCTAAGAGTTTCTTGGTAGTCCTTATGTTTTCCTAAGCATAAGATCATGTCATCTGCAAAAAAAGACAGTTTGACTTCATCTTTTCCAGTCTGAATGCCCTTTATGCCTTTCTCTGGCCTGATTGCTCTGGCTGATACTTCCAATACTATGTTTAATAGGAGTGGTGAGAGTGGGTAATCCTTGTCTTGTTCCTGTTCTTAAAGGAACAGTTTTCAGTTTTTCTCCAATCAGGATGATGTTGGTGGTAGATTTGTCATATATGGCTTTTATTTTCCTTCTATACCTAATTTGTTCAGCATCTTTTTCATGAAGGGATGCAATTAACTGATCTTTGACAAAAGTGCCAAGAACATACATTGGGGAAAAGACAGCCTCTTCAGTAAATGGTGTTGGGAAAATTGGAGATCCATGTATAGATGAAAGAAACGAGACCTACACCTCTCATCATATACTAAAATCAACTCAAAATGGATTAAAGACTTAAGTATAAAACCAGGAACTATAAAACTCCTAGAATAAAACATAGGGGAAACAATTTAGAATGTAGGACTGGGCAAAGCCTTTATGAATAAGACCCTAAAAGCACAAGCAACAACAGAAAAAATAAATTAATGGGATTGAATCAAACTAAAAAACCTCTGCCAGCAAAGGAAACAATCAGCAGAGTGAAAACTAAGCCTGCTGAATGGGAGAAAATATTTGCAAACTATACATTTGACATGGGATTAATATCCAGCATATACAAGGAACTCAAAGAACTTCACAATAACAAAACAATCCAATTAAAGAAATGGGCAAAGGAGCTGGACAGACATTTTTCAAAGGAAGATAGCAAATGGCCAACAGGTTCGTGAAAAAATGCTCAATTGCTCTAGATCGCTAATCATCAGGGAAATACAAATCACAATCACATTGAGATATTTCACCCCAGTCAGACTGGCTATTATCAAAAGACAGAGAATAACAAATGCTGGTAAAATTGTAAAGAAAAGGGAACTCTTCTACACTGTTGGTGGGGCTGTAAATTAGTACAGCTATTATGGAAAACAGTCAGTATGGAGGTTTCTCAAACTACAGACAGAACTACCACATGACAGCAATCCCACTTCCAGGTATATACCCAAAGGAATAGAAATCATCGTGTCGAAGGGATACCTGCACTCCCATGTTCATCACAGCTCTATTTATAATAGCCAAGATGTGGAACAAGACATAAATGTCTATTGACAGATGACTGGATGTTTTAGTCTGTTTGTGTTGCTTATAACAGAATACCTGAAACTGGGTGATTTATAAAGAAGAGAGGTTTATTTGGCTTCCGATTCCAGGACAGCTGCATCTGGTACGGGCCTTGGGCTGTTTCTACTCCTGGCGGAAAGTGTCAGGCAGCCGGTGGGTACAAGCAGATCACATGGTGAGAGGAAGCACGAGGTGCCAGGGTTTTTTAAACAATCAGCTCTCGAAAGAACTTATAGAGCAAGAATTCATTCATTAATCCCCCCTCCCCCAGGGAGAGCACTAGTCCAT